AATTTGGGTTGGATTTGAAGGAGTTTTTGGTAGTGGGAACCGAAAATGCAGGTTCTGCGTTTCTTTCCTTTGAGTAGTGTTTGGATGGTGAGAAACTCTTTTTGGTTTTTAGAGAGGTTTACTGGCTAGAGGGGCAGTTGGTTTTTATGTTTGGCTTTTGGCGGACTTTGAGAAGGTTTACAAAGGTTTTGGGAGGGGAATCCAATTAGGTTTTTTTGAAGGGGAGTCAATGTAGTTGGGTTTTTCTCTTGCTGGTGTTAAGAGCAGGGCTGATGCTTGGAAAGATGGATTGCAATTTATGCTTCTGAGGGGTGATTTCCGTCACATGATATTCTGCCAAACTTCGCTGGTAATTTGATGGTCCCTCGCGCTCGGTTGGGTGAAGATGTGGAGATTGACTAAGGTGTGTGGGATTATAAGAGGAGGACGTTGAAGTAAGTAAAAGAGAAAGGAGAAGAAGAAAAGATGCGAAGAATATGCAGACAGAGAATGAGAAGCATGAGTCGTGTTTTGATGCTTCAAGGCATCATATTACACGCTGAATAAATACAATACGCATGAAACAGATTATGAAATGCCGAATAGATATAATATGATGTGAACAGATAAACTAATGAAGAAAAGTAAAGAAAAAATTTTCTTATCATGATGGAACTTTTCAGGTTAACGATGTTAGTCGAAGGGAGTTCCGTGTCTCTTCTCATGTTGCAAGTTGTCGTTGGAATAATGATTGTTAGAAGCCCCACTGTGGGTGCCAAACTATAGATGCAAAAAATATACCGTCATGAAAATAAGGTCTGATCCCGTGAGGTTGAGGCCACTGACAATCTGCTAGACCTGCACACATGAAAGGACAAATGTGAAGCTTCCAAAAAACACCGAGGTAGTGTTTGCTGTAGGCACTCCGATGCTCAAGTCAGCAAGGCTGAAAGAGATTATTTGATAAGAATTAAGGAGATAAAGAATTACTAGGAGTCTTGTCGAAAGCTAGGACTACGACGGAGGCGTCGGGTTCTCGGGAGCAAGAACTTTAGGAGCAAATAGATGGTTTTGAGTAGTGTAGATTGACTATGGGAGATTACATGCATAATGAGAGGGCAAGCCTCTGTTTGTACAGAGAATCCAAGGGGTTGGAATCCTAGTAGGACACTAAGTCCTATTTTGCGAGATATCGTTATCATGAAAGAGATATGATTTCTTAACTTTATCAGATTAAGTTTGATAGTTTGAGTAAGATTTGGAATCTTAGTAGGACACTAAGTCCTATTTTGCGAGATATCGTTATCATGAAAGAGATATGATTTCTTGACTTTATCAGATTAAGTTTGATAGTTTGAGTAAGATTTGAAATCTTAGTAGAAGAGGAAATAGAATGAGATTCTGATTTCTTATTTATGGACCGTTGTAGGGTAATGGGCTGAAACCCAATTTAGCTTAACTTATAGGATAACCCAACTCATAGAGTGGGTAATTCACAAAGTGATTTTAAGTGTAGACCCAATCGGGATTTCGTTATTGGGCCTCAAGCCGTGATATATTTATTTTGTTATTGGGCCTCGTCAAGTCCAAGATGATTTTTGGCCCTAACAATACCCATACCCATACAAGAACTAATCTTTCTTTATATTAGAATTGAATAAGATATTGACTCGTCTTCTATTTGAACATTCTAAGTCAAGGATACTGATGATGTGTTTTAATAGCAAACAAGTGGCTCGTAATGGCTGGAAAATAATTTGTTGGAGTGAAATTCAAGACTCAGAGATATTATTATTGACTTTCAGTTACCATGCATTAGCATTCCATGCATGCTTCGAAAACAATGTAAACCAAACACGACTAATAACCAGTAGATTAATATCTCAAAATAAATACATAAGAATATTTTTGGATGGGAGCATAGATTAGGACCCATCATATATATGTGCTCTTTCATACTGATTTTCCTTATTTTTGACATTTCATAAGGCAACAAACAAATTATATATTTTGTCATGAAAGTTATTGTAAGATAGTTTCTTTGAAGATTAGTTAAAGTGTCTATACATTGACCCGAGCACATAAGTTAACAAAAAAAAAAAAAAAATGCATTTCTTAATTTTATTTTGTGATTGCTTTATAGCTCAATCTAAATAATATATATAATGTAATTTAATATAATATATGTCTTAAAAAATAATCTTTGATATAATATATTAACAAACATAGAAAAAGAAATGTCACGTTTTATCTTTTAATACCAAGTAACAGGTTTTGCTAACATATTGTATTAATAAGATGATCTAAAACTATTATATTAACAATTTCTTTGAAGGCATAAGTAACCCACACGGCATGAAAACTTTGACTAATGACTAAGGCCTTTTAAAAGAGGCAGCCCTACATTAGCGGTAGCGTTTTAATAATGTCAGTTCTCGGGTGGAAGCTCAGACTTGTCTGCCAGTTGAATTTTCCACAGCAGGACTAACGTTAATCTTCAGTAGCGTATCCCCACATCGACATGGCACCTGCCCTATATATAGCTCCATTTATACATCCTTTACTCCACAGCCAGATTTAGAGAAACCAAACCAAATTAAAGCAATGGCCATCATGTCTGCTCAACTTATATTTTCCCTCAGCTTAGTCTTCCTCGTCTCAGGTATGCATTTCATTCTCTTCATTTTATTTTTTTATTGTCATTAATGTATATAAATAACAAGTATTCGATTAGTAATGATGCACCTTTTAATTGGTTTTCATATGCAGGAGCTCACATGGCAACGATATCCATTACAAACAATTGTCCATACACCGTTTGGCCAGGAACTCTCGCCAACGCTGAGCATCCTCAATTAGCAGAAACCGGGTTCGAGTTAGCCACCCGAGGAACAAAGACCCTCAACATTCCTGCTAAATGGGCGGGCCGTTTCTGGGCCCGAACGCAATGCTCTGGCAGCTTCACTTGTGCCACTGCAGACTGTGGCTCAGGCCAAGTTGCCTGCAATGGTAAAGGTGCAGTCCCACCTGCATCCCTAGTTGAAATAAAGTTCCAATCAGACGACGGACAGGATTACTACAATCTTAGTCTCGTTGATGGCTTTAACCTTCCAGTTGCTGTCGCCCCAGAAAATGGCTCTGGTTCTAAATGTGTTAAAGCCACATGCTCAGCCAATGTGAATGCGGCATGCCCGGCAGAGCTACAAGTGAAAGGAGCCGATGGAAGTGTGATTGCTTGCAAGAGTGCATGTGAACAATTTAAAGACCCAAAGTACTGCTGCACTGGAGCTTACGCAGATAACTGCCCACCAACGAACTACGCTACAATTTTTAAGAATCAATGCCCTCAAGCTTATAGTTACCCTAAAGATGATGCTAGTAGCGTGTTTGCATGCACTTCTGGGGCTAACTATGCCATTACTTTCTGCCCATGAATGAGGGATACTCTAACTGAAACTCTTTGATATATTTTACTATAAATATAAGACTAAATAAAACTCAGTTAGTATCATGAAGCATGCAGATAATTTTCTTTGAGAATTTGTTATCTGTAATAACAAATGAAGAAATAAATAAACTCTCATTATATGTTTCTTTACTTGTTTCACGATTGATGGTTTCTCTACTTGTTATTTCTTTAAAAAAACGTAGTGCCTTTATACACTCAACATTAGTTAAGCCTATGATACAAAAAAGAGACAGAAAATAATTATGTTTGTGTTCTTGTTTTTGCCTTATTATGGGCTGTTGGCATTAAGCCTCTAGCAAACTTCTTTTTGGATGCCCAAAGTCAAGGGGTGCGTTTGGTTTATTATTTTGGATAGGATTTTGGGGATAGTATTGGATAATTGAATATGGGAGTATTACGAGGTAAAATTTATAAAAAAAAACCCCTAAGTTTGCTAATTTAATAAATACCCCCAACATGTAAAATGACAAAAATACCTCCACCACCTGCAGTGCCAGATTCTGGTCACCACCGCTGGAATTTGGCCGGAAAATCACGTTACGACACAAACCGGTCGGATTTGTGTCGTAAAGCGTCGTTATGGCCTTTTCCGGCCAGATCCACCACGGATCTGGCTGAAAAAGGCCAGATCTACGGCCTGTCGTGGCCGTTGACGGCTGGAAAAGGCCAAAATGGCCGTCGTTGACAGCGAAATCTGGCCTTTTCTGGCCAGCAGGCCAGATCGGTGAATTACTGTCTAGTTCTGGTTGGTAATTCACTGTTGTGGCAGATTTCGGCTACCACCGACGGTGGTTGCCGGAATCTGGCAAGTATGGGTTATGGGGGTGTTTTTCTTAATTTTTAAACTTTTTTTCAGGGGGTGTTTAATGAAATTAATAACCTTTTGGGGTCTAAAAGTAATTAGAAAAATAGGGTAATATTTTTGGAATAATGTGCCAAACATTATTTGGAGAATATGATTGGGAATATAGATAATAATTAATAAGCCAAACATGCCCAAGATTATTTTTCAACACGAGATTGCCCAACTGGAAAAATAATTGTGAAAAACTCATAATAATTCTTTCAATGACCTGATTACCCTGCTCAATGTAAGTAATAGTCATTTTAGAGGGTGTTTGTCTAAGTTTATAAGCTGGTCAAACTTGCTTATAAACTCCAAAATAAAGCTGACCTGTTTATTTATAATTTTTTTGAGCTTATAAGCTAAAAAAAATAAGTTAGGGGGAGGTATTTTTTTTTTTTTTGACTTATAAGCACTTTGCTTATAAGCTAATTTGATCAAGTATATTACCACATTATCCTTGTTTAATTTTAAAATTTCATAATATGTCCTTATTTAATAGTATATTTTTTAGTAATTTTATAATAAAATATACTTATAAGCTATATTTTACCAAATACGTTAATTACTTATCAATCATTTATAAGTACTTTAACTAAAGTTATAATTGCTTAAAATTTCAAATACTTATAAATTAATTTTAGTTTATAAGCGATGAGACCAACACCTCCTTATTATGCTATATAATTAGATTTGTTTGACCAACTAGATAATTTTGGACCTCAAAGTTCAAACCGAAACGCACCTGGAAGTTAATCTCTTCAAGCATGGCTTTGAGATCCCCTTTTCGTTCGTCTTCAATCTTTCAAAACCCATCTCTGAAGGTTAATGTTCTATTCTTGTCAGCTCACTTACACGGTCTCACTACTTCAAGCTCCAAACATGAAGTTTTGTATTCTTTCGAAAAACCCCTTGAACGATCCTCGCTTGCTAAATTCCTCAAAGAAAATTGTCGATCAGGTAACTTTTCTCTTAATGAAGCATTGTACTTTTTCTATTACATGATTAATTCGCAACCCATTTCTCCAATTTCATCATTCAACAGATTGTTTAATGCACTTGCAAAGAAGAAGCATTATTATGAAGTGATTTCTCTTTATAAGTCGTTGACTTCAACTGGGTTGTCTCCACATTTAATGTCGTTGAATATTTTGATGTATTGCTTGGCTAAGATTAAAAGGGTTTCGTATAGTTTTGCGGTTTGAAGAAGGGTTTTAGCCCGAATGCCGTGACTTTTAATTGTTTGATTAAAGGTCTGTGTGTAGAGCGAAAGATTATGGAGTCGATCGAATTGTTTTTCCTAATTCATGGACATATAGCATTTTTATTGATGGACTTTGCAAGAATGGATATGTTTGTAAGCAGTGGAAATGTTTAATACTCTAGTAAATAATAAGTTTGCAGTTAGCCTTGAAGGTTTGAGTTCTCTCATTGATGGATTATGCAAAACAGGGAGATTTGAAGCTGCTTGGGACCTATTTCAGAAATTTTGTCTTCATGGAAACCTTGTGCCGAACGTTGTAACATATAGCATTTTGATCAATGGGCTGTGCAACATTGGACAAGTAGAAAAGGCAAATGAGTTGTTGTCATATATGGAGGAAAAAGGTTGTGCTCCAGATGTAGTCACATTTAATACACTTATCTTTGGTTTCCTCAAAAATAATAAGATACCAAAAGTTGTTGAATTCCTTCATAAGATGGCGGAGAGAAATGTGAGGCCGACTGCATGTTCAATGTCCTTAGTTATGCAGTTACTAAAGAAGGCTGAAAATTATTGTGAATGTTTGAACCAGCTTCCTCGATTTCTGGTCCAAAAGCCAAATTGAAGTTTTTATGACAACAATTTAGTGAGTAGTTAACTTTATTCAAAGCAGAATCCTTATCAAGAGATCTTTATTTGACAGCATTTAAATATAAAACTACACAAGATCATCCGGCTCCCCAAATGTTCTGTTTTGTTTACGGTAAGAAAAACTTTTAGTGTACACCTTTGTCTGTTCAAAATATTTTGCTCATGATGTCTTCTAGCTTGGTAAATTCTTTACTGAACTGCTTCAGCAATTTACTATCATGGACTGAGTGTAGACCCTGAAAAATTGGTAACGCTTTTGAGCTATTAAAAGTTTTACTGTAAAACTTAATTCATGCTGTCTGCTGTAGTTAAAAAATATGTCAATTATTTTTAGAAGTTCTGGTGTTGTTGTTCTTTACCATTTTGAAGAAAGGCTGTTGAGCTATTAAAAGTTTTACCATTGTGTTGTGTGGGTGATTGGGAGAAGGTTGAAAGTTTATTTACTGCAATGATGGATCAGGGTGTGCAGTCTAATGTGGTGACGTTTAGTGTGATCTTAGATGAATTAGATTATCGCTATATCTATTCCATTTTCGACTTCTTTTTCTTTTTCTTTGTCTTGCCTACAAAATAAATCTAGTATTCGTGGAAAATATTAGAATCTTTGGATCCTCTTTATCCTCTCTTAGTTTTTCTGATTGATTCCTCTTCTCGACCCAGTCTATCTTCCTTTTTATTCTTATTCTTCTATCTAAATTCTCCCCATCCTTGGTTATCTATCTTAATCTCTCTCATTCTTTCTCCCTGCATCATAATTTATATAACAATAACACAGAGAGCTAGCAGCAATGAGAGAGAGGAAAAATAAGGTGAAGGTGCTAGGGAATGTACCCACAAAGAAAAATTAAGACGAGAGATAGAAGAGAAAATGTGAAACAAAAAACATTTTTAGTTAACTTATAAATTTCTTTTTTTTTTTTTCTTTTTCTTTTTTGGGGTCCTCATTTACCTTTAATATGAGCTCTCTTATTCTGATATGTTAAAATTTAATTCAAGTCCTTTGAAACATCGTCTCAAGTGTTGAGTCTTATTAAGCAAAATGAGATTGATGTCAAAAGCCTTTTGTTGGAGGTTTCTTGAAAGCCTTAGACAATGCCTTCATTTGGGCATAGTAAGAAGTAGTCGTAAAATATTTCTTACAGTCCTCGACCGATATTGATATTGTCATAGATATTTCGAGAATTTTTTTATCTATTACAAGTTTTATATTTAATGTTCTATGTCATGCAGGAAACATGGGATGAACGTGATTATCAATTTGTACGCCCTCCCAAGGCTCTCAGAATGGTAATGACCACAGTGGGACAAGAGATGGTTATCAGGAATGGGGAGATTCCAACATTCAAGATATTGTGTTTGTCATAAACTTACTTGCTGCAAGGTTAACGCAATAGATTTCTAGAAATCATTTTATTAATGTTGTACTCTTGTTTCGACGTCAATCTAACGGTTGTGGATGAACAGGTATGCTAATCAATCAAGTCTGGCACCAGGAGTTACACTAGATACTCTTGAATAGTATTACAAAGCCGGTTATAATGCTGTGAGAAAATACACCTCAAAGTGCTTATGTAATCCTTTCCAATCGTTTCCGTTTGGGATCTCCGGTTGATCCGAAAGAGCTCCTCCAGCTTGCAAATGGGGCTAGTGGAGTCGCCATTGATGTGCATTACTACAACCTCTTCTCAGACATGTTTAACAACTTCGACGTGCAGTAGAACATCGATTATATCTATAATTAATGAGCTTTTAGTCTAAAATCTATCGCCGCATCTAATGGCCCTCTAATTTTCATTAGTAAGCGCAACGATAGTTTAAGCTTTTGAGTTAGGCGATTATTTACTTAAACATTGTCAGACCTAAAAGTAGTCGGGTTTTGCGGGGGAATGGACTTGTGATTTGGGCGTACAAGGAGCATCGATGGCTGATTTACAAGAGGTTTTGCAAGGTTCATATAGACGTGTTAATTTCCAGATTGACTTGTCTTCTATTTGAACATTCTAGGTCAAGGATATTGATGTGTTTTAATGACAAACAAGTGATTCGTAATGGCTGGAAAATAATTTGTTGGAGTGAAATTCATGACACAGAGATAGAATTATTGACTTTCAGCTACCATGCATTAACATTCCTTGCTCCGAAAAGACTGTAAACCATATATTTTTAGCTTATAGGTTGTTCATAATATGATTGAATATTTATTGAATTTCAAAAACAAAATAGTGTTCGGTAGTGGCTGAGTCGCGGCAGTGGCTAGGTGGTGGTGGTGGTGGTGGCAGTGGCAGTGGCTGGGGTTGGTTCTTTGGAGATGGGATAATGTGAAAGTTGAAGAGGAGGGTGTTATTGAAATAATTTAAAAGTAAGATGTTATTTTTAATTCTACTAATTTGGGGGTTTAAAATTCATTTATTAATTTATTTGTCAAGGGCAGTTAGTTATAACATCCTCTGCCATTGGTCATAACCTAACAATTGCTAACAGCAATTATTTTTGGGTGAGAATATGGAATTTATGAAAATAGGGGTGGGAACTGGTCATTACGTGAAACTTTAGGTGGATACATGTCATTTACTCAAAATACTAAAACAAGCACACCCATTTTTTTTGTTTTGTACTTATGTTGAAGAGTTAAAAAGACTTTTTTCAATCCAAATAATGGTTTAATGATTCTTTTTTACTTACATATTTTTAAAATACTATTATATTATCTAAATTTATATTCTAATAGCAAATAGAGAGTAAACTCAATCAGGGCCGGCTTAAGGGGTAGGCAGGTGAGGCACCTGCCTAGGGCCCCAACAAAATGGGGACCCAAATTTTTTATAAATTTTTTTTTTTTTTTTTGAATATCTTACAAAAATGAAAATAGTTTATAATTTCTTATCTAAGCCAAGGGCCCCAAAAAAAAACCAAAAAATCCCAAATTTATTATAAACTTTTTACATATATTCCCACCCAAAGTTTAACAAAATAGCAAGTTTGTACCTCTAGTTTTATATATTCTAGTTTATACCCCTAAATTAATACATTGAATCTCTTTTAACAATGGAAGACTAAAATAGTTATTTACATATCTCAAATTACTCACCCCTAATTCAATCCCAAAATTTGAAATTCACATAAATCATCTCCAACCCTCTTCTGTCGCCAGTGGTTTGGAGTTGATTTCGGTCAATTTTGGTTCCAGTCGATTTTCTCACCAAAATCGACCGAAATCATCATTTTATCATTTCCCAACCTTGATAGTCCTCGATTTGACTAATTTTTATGAATCTCGCAACCCAACTCCACCACACGACAGCCATTTTTAGCCTTTTTGGCATGTACTCGACATTGTTGGCCTTCCCCGACACCACCATCTTCCTCCCCTCAACCCTCTCACCAAAACCCCTATCATACCTTATCTGTTTACTCTGCCAATCGCCGACCATCGATACCTTTTGGGTCGTGACTTCTCAAGCATTTTCTTATCAATCTTGGCATTGGAAATCACCCATTTCACCACCCACTTCTCCAACATCTACTTTTCAAAACCCCCCACCAACCTAACCTTGTTAGCTTGCCGGTTGCTATCCACCTCTCCTAGTAATTTTTCATCTCAAAAGGCCAAAATAATAATAATAATAATAATAATATTTTTTTTAATATATGCTTATATTATTAGAGGATCCCAAAGTAACTCCTGCCTAGGGCCACAAATATTCTAGAGACGGCCCTGAACTCAATCGAGACTGTTAGAGATTTTAAAAAGAGAAAACTGATGAGTCTTTTGATGATGGAAAGTTAATTTTGATGATTGAAGTTGATCAGAATTTGGCTTAAGAAAGATGACTGCGTTAATCTTAATCGCTTGATTGATGAACATTGATAGGATCGATGAAAATTGAGTTTGAGGGGTTTTGATGAATGATAACCAGAAAAGAGAATAATGATAATGTAAAGTCGCAACGATATTATTAATTCAAGTAATAAATTGGTATTTTATAATCAGAAATAGAATATTAATTTAACTAATAGATTGATATTTTAAAAATTTATATGCGAGAAAGGGTGGCTAACCAATTATTTGGGTGAAAAAAGATCTTATGCTCTATTTTCTATGGTGAAAGAGACAGGGAAAGAAATTATATTTTAGCATTTCACAAGCCCATAAAAGCATCTCTCAGCCATCCATGCAGGCTGCAGCTGGCCAGGAGGTCTACCCCGAGCCCCTGATTACTCGTTACAGCATTACAGGTAGGGTCCATAGGTATCTCCTCACAGTGAAATCCTTGAACCTTGTGTCCCGACGTGACCCAACCTGTTTCTTTATCACTCTGCATAATATCCAACTTTTTTCTCTAAAATTTAAAAGCTCACTTTCACCTTTCTCACTGTATAATTATACCATATTATTATTAATATTATTGTTGCTATTCTCTAAATGTCTGGGCTACAGTACAATATCTTGCAGTAGCAGAGTAAAAGTTACTAAGTTTGTTCTACTAACTTCCCACTGGGTTCATTTAATTATGGAAAATGATAGACTTATCGACTGGTGTGTATCGATTTTGTGCATCGAATGACGTAACAAAATCCTGACCGTTGATTAATATTAACTGATAATAAATAAACGGTCAGGATTGTGCTACGTCATTCGGTGCACAAAATCGGTACACACCAGTCGGTAACTGTAGCATTACTCTTTAATTATTTTCTCGTAAGCTATGAGGACTTTATGAATCTAACCGAGATACTGTAGCTTCGTTTGGTTCAAGATTGAGAATACTACTCTTAGTATTTCCAAAAAAGTTAAACAGTAAAATACCCAAAAACTCTCATTTTTAGGAACACTATTTTCAATATTATTTAATTTTTTTAAACCCTCTAAATTTGTTAATTTAATTAAATACCCCTAAATATTTTTTTTTAAAATTATAAAAACACCCAACAATCCACATTTACCAGATTCCGGCCACCACCGCAGGAAAATAGTTGGAATCTGGTAGGATGGCGCACTACCGGCTGAATCTGGCCGGTAGTGCGCCGATCTAGCCTTTTCTGGCCAGATCCACCGTTGACGGCCAGATCTTTGGCCGTAACAGTCGGTCACGATGGCCAACAAACGGTCGTCGTTGACCATCAACGACGACCGTTTGTTAGCCGTCATTGAGAGCAAATATGGCCAGATCTGGCGGTTGACGGCCAAATATGGCCGTAGATCTGGCCTTTGCCGGCCAGATCCATCGTGGATCTGGCCGGAAAAGGCCATATCGGCGCATGACCGGCAAGATCCAGCCGGTCATGCACCCATAAGGCGACTCCGGCCACCTCCGGTGGTGGTGGTCGACTGGGGGTATTTGAGGGTGGGTTAGAGGTATTTTTGTTAACTTTTAATGTTTTATTATAAGGGGGTATTTTGTAAAAAAACAAACATATGGGGTATTTTATTAATTTATAAATCCTACATCATAATACCCGCCCAATTCAACTTTTTTTTTTAACTTTTTTCAAAAAACTTTTCCCAAAACCCCCAAATTTTGAACCAAACGGAGCCTGTATATTTGTAGTTTTTTTATCGATGGTGATTTAGAATTTTCTTTTGGATGAAATTTGATTTATGTGCTTGGACACTAGTTCATGTGCACGTTCTTCTGCTTTTGATACCAGAATAGTTTCAAAAAATGCTATCTACACTGACGTTTTATATCAAATTTTTACACCAAACGAACGTATTTACTGAATCAGATAAATCATGTATCATGTTAACAAATATTTTATAAATAAACAGTATTCATCAAATATAAATGATTATCTATTATTATTAGACGATCGTTCATTTGAAATAAACTGTCGTTCATATTATATAGATAGCCGTTTATTAGAAATAGACTACCGTTCATATTATATAGACAACCGTCCACTTAGAATGAACACCCGTTTATAGTTTAAACTTAAAAAATTTCTCCTAAATTATTTATGGACGTCTGTCCTCTTATGAGGAGGATTGTCCATAGTTATGGACGCCCATCCCATCCTTTAATATTAACCAATTTTAAAATTTAAATTTATTTAATACATTAATCCAAAAGTTGACAAAAGTTATTTAATGCATTAATTTATTTAATTGGGCGTCCATCCAATTGCTTTGAATATGGACAAAAATTTAATGAAACTTGTCCAATTACTTCAAGCATTGACAAAAGTTAAATGACAAAAATTTAATGAATAAAACTTGTCCATTGAGTGTAAATTTTTTTAAAAATTGTTTAGACCGTCCATCATAAATGTAAAATTTTTTAAAATTGTTTGGACGAGCGTACATCTTATATGAACGCTCGTCCATAGTAAATGGACACCCATTTATATAATATGAACGAGAGTCCATTAAATATAAATAGACGTTGATAAATGTTAGACGACTGTTCATTCACAAAAGACTCTAGTGTGGTTGGGTCTGACTGATTGCCATATCCTTCAGTACAAAAATTTGGTGTCAAATTTCGGTGTCCGTAGCATTACTTAGTGGTGAAAAACAGCTTCTCTATAAAGTCAACTGTTGTTTTACCTTATAGATTATGCAGGTAAAATTTAATTGTGTTTACTCGGTTATCTATACGATTTCAGGATGTATAAGTATATCAAAGGAGCTATCCAACATCAATCCACCGTCATGATCTCCAAATAAATTATTAACAAAAATACTACTTTTACGTGCAGTAGAGAAATCGAATCTGAGATTATGGGTTGTACCATTTGTAACCCCCTTAGTTTGCCTTTACTATTGGGCTACCCATAGGTGGACATAATACGTACACTTTAAATTATGTTTCCTTAGTTATTTTATTATAATATTGATTCAATAACATTAATGTGATTTTGTTTTGGGCTGTAAAATGGTATATGTGTCATACGTTAAATGTGATTGAGAAACTATTAAAAAGAAAAGATTAAGACTCTTAAACAGTGAGTTTACTTAAAATAAAGGTTAATTAAGGAGCTTGCTCATAATATCTAAATTAAGTTCAATAATTGGTGTTAAAATTTTGGCCTGTCAGTCTGTCCAGGTTAAATCTACTGCAAGACCAGAAGACGTTCGTCCTATTGAAATTATTAGAAATCTCTCTATAAAAATATAAAATAAAATAAAAATCCTAAAGAAATATTTAATATTTTTGTAAAATATAAAATATGAAATATCGAGATGGGTAGATTTCATGTAGT